GGTAGATATAAGAGAGACGATGGTTCGGGCACGCAGCTCGACGCCCGGAGGGAGAGCTCATTCGCGATGTACTTCTCCCTCCTTCTCTTCCTGGCTGGCGAAAACGTGTCGGTAGGTAGATGAGGACGTCGGCTAGCACAATTAAGGATGACCTAGCAGAACTATCTGGTCCACAAGTAGTTGGTCTTCGACGTTGGAATCGCGATTGGCTCGCCATTTCGTGTGACCTGGCTCAGGATCGGCGAGCGTGGGCAGCGATGGTCCATGATGCTGTACTTGCTCGGGAGGAAGCCGGTTCATACCGATCAGGATGAAAATCGATACAAGTCAAGTCAAAGTCAAGTAGATATAAGATGGTAGAGAGAAGGTTTATTTAATTTCAGGTGTAAATAAGTTAAAAATGAAGGACAATCACAGTGAATTAATATAGAGATATGGCTGGAGACATTTCCGATTTACACTCGGGCCATATACATTTTACATTAGAGGCGAATAGGGAGACTTAGGGACGATTTGCACTGGATTACCAATAAAGTAAACATTTTTTTACTGGCTTGTACTAGTGACATCAGTTCACCGTTATAAGTTCAGTTAGAAATGCAGACACAGAGCCGATTTACACCATAGAAATGCAGACACAGAGTCGATTTATACCACAGAAATGCAGACAGAGAGCCGATTTTCACCAGAGAAATGCAGACACAGAGTCGATTTACACCATAGAAATGCAGACACAGAGTTGATTTACACCATAGAAATGCAGACACAGTGCCGATTTACACCACAGAAATGCAAACACAGAGCCGATTTACACCATAGAAATGCAGACACAGAGTCGATTTACACCACAGAAATGCAGACACAGAGTCGGTTTACACAATAGAAATGCAGACACAGAATCGATTTACACCATAGAAATGCAGACACAGAGCCGATTTACACCATAGAAATGCAGACACAGAGTCGATTTACACCATAGAAATGCAGACACAGAGTCGATTTACACCATAGAAATGCAGACACAGTGCCGATTTACACCACAGAAATGCAAACACAGAGCCGATTTACACCATAGAAATGCAGACACAGAGTCGATTTACACCACAGAAATGCAGACACAGAGTCGATTTACACAATAGAAATGCAGACACAGAATCGATTTACACCATAGAAATGCAGACACAGAGCCGATTTACACCATAGAAATGCAGACACAGAGTCGATTTACACCATAGAAATGCAGACACAGTGCCGATTTACACCACAGAAATGCAGACACAGAGTCGATTTACACCACAGAAGTGCAGACACAGAGTCGATTTACACAATAGAAATACAGACACAGAATCGATTTACACCATAGAAATGCAGACACAGAGCCGATTTACACCATAGAAATGCAGACACAGAGTCGATTTACACCATAGAAATGCAGACACAGTGCCGATTTACACCACAGAAATGCAGACACAGAGTCGATTTACACCACAGAAATGCAGACACAGAGTCGATTTACACAATAGAAATGCAGACACAGAATCGATTTACACCATAGAAATGCAGACACAGAGCCGATTTACATCATAGAAATGCAGACACAGAGTCGATTTACACCATAGAAATGCAGACACAGTGCCGATTTACACCACAGAAATGCAAACACAGAGCCGATTTACACCATAGAAATGCAGACACAGAGTCGATTTACACCACAGAAATGCAGACACAGAGTCGATTTACACAATAGAAATGCAGACACAGAATCGATTTACACCATAGAAATGCAGACACAGAGCCGACTTACACCATAGAAATGCAGACAAAGAGTCGATTTACACCATAGAAATGCAGACACAGAGTCGATTTACACCATAGAAATGCAGACACAGAGCCGATTTACACCATAGAAATGCAGACACAGAATCGATTTACACCATAGAAATGCAGACACAGAGCCGACTTACACCATAGAAATGCAGACACAGAGTCGATTTACACCATAGAAATGCAGACACAGAGTCGATTTACACAATAGAAATGCAGACACAGAGCCGATTTACACAATAGAAATGCAGACACAGAATCGATTTACACCATAGAAATGCAGACACAGAGCCGACTTACACCATAGAAATGCAGACAAAGAGTCGATTTACACCATAGAAATGCAGACACAGAGTCGATTTACACCATAGAAATGCAGACACAGAGCCGATTTACACAATAGAAATGCAGACACAGAATCGATTTACACCATAGAAATGCAGACACAGAGCCGACTTACACCATAGAAATGCAGACACAGAGTCGATTTACACCATAGAAATGCAGACACAGAGTCGATTTACACCATAGAAATGCAGACACAGAGCCGATTTACACCATAGAAAAAAAAAATTTAAAAATAGATATTTGTCAGGTTTATTCTCGAGTCTATAAAGCAGACGTTCTCAAGCGGAGTCCGTGTGGACCCTGAGGGACCCTGTAATAATACTGGGGATCCACACAAAAAGACTAGCAAATTAGGGGTCCACAGTAATATTTTAATGCTCTATAGAGCAATTTGACTATGTTACAACTGAGAATTGAAATTTCTACGGTAATCTACGCCATATTAAAACACTAAAAATAGAAAAACAACTCAAAAACGGGATCAAGCGATGTAAATTAGCACCCCTTTAACTCTAGTGGATATTTTGATTGAAGTTGAATAAAAGCTGAAAAGGATATGTAAAGAAATGATTATATATAAAAAAGGAAAATTATATAAAGATTCCTAAACTTATCTATAAGTAAAAAATAAAATAAGCTTTTTTTTTTCATCGAACGGTTATAGGGGGAGGGGGCTTTGCAAAAAACAATTAAGAATGGAAGTAGTCCATGGGTAAAAATAAGAAAATTTAGAAACACTGTTATAAATTATTCACTAGAAAGGTGACATTTTCTTCTTTTTTTTTGCAGTGGAGGGGGGTGGATTTTACCAGTGTGCAAGAGATATTCAGTTCCTCAGGGATAACGGCAGAATAAAAATTGTCCTAGTTCACTTCGAGATGATGAAAGCTGAACACTGGAAAACAATATCTAATTAACACGGCTCGCAGTAATATGCTCGTCCCTATCATCGGGCTCCTCTGCTGCACCTGACTTCGCCAGCCTTTATACATGTCGTACGTCTCGCTCTTGTAAATATGGTAGCAATCCAGTCACTCCGATTGTCACAGTCTGCCGAAATATAGCTCCAACTTGCACACGGTCAAATCGTAAAGAATGATATCTGTCCTGTATAGGGGAGTGAATGAAAAAGAGTAAAGCCCCCTTTAAACATTTCTCTCTCGCTACATGGAATTTTGAAAGGTAAAGAATAAGCACCCAGTCCCAGAAGGGAGCGAATAATCAAGTACAGCCTCACTTCGCTCCATGGAGGCGATGGGTAAAGAATAAGCGGCTACATCACAGCGAAAGTTAATGAGGAAGCCCTTTCATCTAATTGGGAATAAACATTTAAGTGTCAGCGCTATTAGCTATCATATAGAGAATAGTAAAGGATAAACTCGTTTCACTTCATGGATGCGAACAGAAAAAAATAAGGTCTGCACATTACAGCAAAGCAGACCCCTTTACCTACATGGTAACAAGCTATTCGCTACATGTTAGCGAATACTAAAACATAAACTTATTTCGCTACATGTGAGCGAATAGGAAAGAATATGTTCATTTCGCTGCATGTAAGTGAATGGTAAAGAATAAGCCCCGTTCCTTACAATGGTGCAGACGTCCAGGATTAAACTCATTTCCTTACATGGTAGAGAACGTTAAAGTGTAGGCGCTATCACCGAACATGTAGCGAATAGTAAGGCGTAGGTTATCAGCGCAACATATGAGCAAATGTGAGATAATGGTAAAGAATATGCTCACTTGGCTACATGTGAGCGAATGGTAAATAATATGCTCAATTCGCTACATGTAAGCGAATGGTAAAGAATGTGCTCACTTCGCTACATGTGTGCGAATGGGAAAGAATGTTCTTAATTCGCTACATGGAAGCGAATGGTAAAGAATATGCTCACTTCACTACATGTGAGGGAATGGTAAAGAATGTGCTAAATTCGCTACATGTGAGCGAATGGTAAAGATATTCTCAATTCGCTACATTGACGCGGACTTTAATAAGTAAGCTCTATTCCCTACATGTGAGCGAGCGTTAATGTTTCTGCGTTATTCGCTACCATGTAGCAAATAGTAAAAACATAAATTTTCTTTTCTACGTGGCGCCAATAGGAAATAATATACTCACTTTCCTACATCTGTTGGAACAGTACAGAATACGCTCCTTTGAGTACATGGGAGAGGATGTTAATAAGTACATGCTATTCACTACATGTAGGCGGACATAAAAGTGTCAGCACTATTCGCCACATGGTAGCGAATAGTAAACCGTATGTTTTCTTCACTACATGTAAGCAAATAAAAGATAATGTGCCCTCTTTTCTACATGTGATGGAATATAAAGAATAGCTACGTTCACTACATGTAAGCTTTTCGACTACATGTGAGCGAACGTTAGAGGACATATTAAAGCGTAAATTTTCTTCGCTGCATGTAAACGAATAGCAGATAATATGCTTTGTTACATGGAGCGAACGGTAACGTATTGGCTTTGTTCACTACATAGTGGAAAGTCAACGAGCGAGCACTTTTAGCTACAAGTAGGCGAATGGTAAAGAATAGGTTTTCTTGGTAATATAGGATCCAATGGTAAAGCTCTGTGTCCCACATGCGGGGAAATTTTAAATCATAAGCTCTTTTGTAGCTCAAGGGGGCACAATAAAAAAATAAGCTCTCTCCAGTATATGAGAATAGTCTCACTTTGCTACATGTGATGACTGGTGAAGAAAATGGCAAAGTATAGACTTTCTCGGCTACACAGGGGAAAATGGTAAACATTAATGTCTCGGTGCTACAATAAGAAATAACGAAGGCAAAAGAGAAAAAGGAAACTTCTACGCAAAATCAAAGATAAATAGAACAGAACAAATGGCGAAATATTGGGAGAAAAGATTCAGGAATGGAATTAAAATAGAAAAAGGAAGAATAAAAGGAATGATAAACAAATTGATGGAGGGAAAAACCAAAGAAACAAAATAAGATACGACGGAGAACGGAAAATATAAACGGGAATATAGAAATGGCGGAAAAAAGATTAAAGACAAAAGAAAGAAAGAAAGAAAGAAAGAAAGGAAAAAAGAAAGAAAGAAAAAAGAAAGAAAGAAAGAAAGCGTGTTGAATGGCACAGTGAAAGAATCAGATATAATTAAATGTAGAAAGAAAGAAAGAAAGAAAGAATAAAAGAAAGAAAGATAGAAAAAGAAAGAAAGCGTGTTGAATGGCACAGTGAAAGAATTAGATATAATTAAATGTAGAAAGAAAGAAAGAAAGAAAGAAAGAAAGAAAGAAAGAAAGAACAAAAAAAGAAGATGTAAGACATAAAAAATTAATATGCATGACATGTAGGAAAGCACAAATGAATGAAATAAATAAAGCAGAAAGAAGGAAAGAGAAAAAAAGAAAGAATAAAAGAAAGAAAAGAAAAACAAGGAAATGCAAAAAAGAAAGAATGAAAGAAGAAAGAAAAAGAAAGAAAAGAAGGAAACAAAGAACAAGTAATGAAGGTATAAATTAAGAAGGAAATGGAAAAGAAAAGATGAAAGAATGTAAAAGAGACAAAGAATCAAAAAGTAAAGAACAAATGAAGGAAAAAGAAAGAATAAAAGAAAGAAAATTGAAAAATAAGAAATAACGAAGGCAAAAAGAAAAAAAAATGGAAGCTTATACGCAAAAACAAAGGTAAATGGAATCGAAAAAAATGTCGAAATGTTGGGAGAAAGAATTTAGGAACGGAATAAAAATAGAAAAAGGAAGAATAAAAAGAACGGTAAAGAAATTCTATGAGGGAAAAACCAAAGAACGGAAAAATATGAACGGAAATATAGAAAAGAAGAAAAGAAGGAATTAAGAAGAAAGAAAGAAAGAAAGACAGAAAGAAAGAAAGAATGAAAGACAGAATAAAAGAAACAAAAGAAAAACAAAGAAATGCAAAAAAGAAAGGATGAAAGAAGGGATACAAACGATAGAAAGAAAGAACGAAAGAAAGAAAAGAAAAAAAATAACAAAGAAATACAAAAAAAAAAAAAAATGAAGGAAGAAATGCAAACGACAGAAAGAAAGAAACAAACAAACAAAGAACAACCAATTAAGGTATGAATTAAGAAGGAAATGGAAAAAGAAAGGATGAAAGAATAAATGTAAAAGAAATAAAGAATGAAAAAGTAAAGCAGGAAAGAAGGACAAAGAAAGAATGAAAGAAAGAAAAATAAGAAATAACGAAGGCAAAAAGAAAAAAAGGAAACTTATACGCAAAAACAAGGGTAAATAGAATCGAAAAAATTGCGAAATGTTGGGAGAAAGATTTTAGGAACGGAATAAAAATAGAAAAAGGAAGAATAAAAAGAACGGTAAAGAAATTCTATGAGGGAAAAACCAAAGAACGGAAAAATATGAACGGAAATATAGAAAAGAAGAAAAGAAGGAATTAAGAAGAAAGAAAGAAAGACAGAAAGAAAGAAAGAATGAAAGACAGAATAAAAGAAACAAAAGAAAAACAAAGAAATGCAAAAAAGAAAGGATGAAAGAAGGGATACAAACGATAGAAAGAAAGAACGAAAGAAAGAAAGAAAAACATAACAAAGAAATACAAAAAAGAAAAAATGAAGGAAGAAATGCAAACGACAGAAAGAAAGAAAGAAACAAACAAAGAACAACCAATTAAGGTATGAATTAAGAAGGAAATGGAAAAAGAAAGGATGAAAGAATAAATGTAAAAGAAATAAAGAATGAAAAAGTAAAGCAGGAAAGAAGGACAAAGAAAGAATGAAAGAAAGAAAAATAAGAAATAACGAAGGCAAAAAGAAAAAAAGGAAACTTATACGCAAAAACAAGGGTAAATAGAATCGAAAAAATTGCGAAATGTTGGGAGAAAGATTTTAGGAACGGAATAAAAATAGAAAAAGGAAGAATAAAAAGAACGGTAAGGAAATTCTATGAGGGGAAAACCACGAACGGAAAATATGAACGGGAATATAGAAAAGAAAGAAAGAAAGAAAGAAAGAAAGAAAGAAAGAAAGAAAGAAAGAACAAACAATTAAAGGAGGAATTAAAAAAGGAAGAAATGCAAAAAGAAATGATGAAAGAATAAATGTAAAAGAAAGAAAAAAGAAAGAAAGGAAGAACAAACAATTAAAGGAGGAATTAAGAAAAAAGTAATACCAAAAGAAAAGACGAAAGAATAAATGTAAAAGAAAGCAATAAATAAATAAATAAATAAAGAAAGAAAAAGAAAGAAAGAAAGAAAGAAAGAAAGAAAGAAAGAAAGAAAGAGAAAATTTGAAAATTCTTTTCGACATTGGTTAACGGGGCATTTCAGATATTTGAGATAAACAAATCTGTATAAAGACAGAGATTGAGAGTGAAAATCTTTGATCGTTCTGATACCTTGGCCATTGCGCGTTTTCATGTCCTCTGGCAAGTTGAAGACCAATGGAATCCAATAGGAAAAGCAAAAAAAGTGAACAATAGAACGGACCATTTCTACGAATGTAGTCAGGTCAGTTCGACCCAGCTGAGGTTTTCCAAATGAGATCAACTGAACAAATGATTTATAAATCCTAAATACAGTGCAGGAGTCATTTTGATTTGAATTAAACTTTTTTTAACACCATTTCATCTTGTTCTACACACTTAAACAATTATTTTTACGGACAGGGGGTACAGGAAATTTACCTAATGGCTGAGTCAGCGAAATATTTTTTAATTATTATTTTATTTTATTTTATCTATGTATTTATTTACCATTGGGAATTTTTGGCGAATTATGATTCGTGGTAAAAAGCGTACGAGACAATTCCAAAAAGTATCCAGTCGTTTTAAATATCACGACAACCAGTTGCGTCGTTTTCCGGTAATTTGATACCTTAGTACACATGGGGACATTGGACAAACTATGATCGCTCCAGACAATAAAAAGACAAAATAAAATCGTGGTAAATTTATCGTTTATTTCGACACTAATGATATTCGTGACAATCTTTTATTATTACTTTTATAATTCTTCTTTTTTTTTTCCCCTTCTTGATGTTAGCTTATTAGGTCCTCAGAAATATATCACGCTAAATGCCCATTAACCATAACTCGGCTTTGGAGATCGTCTCAGGAGAAGAAAAGTTTTTTTTTTCGGATTTGCAACTTGGGCCGGCTATATAACGTTATTCAAGAAAAAAAACAATTTTCTTTCTTTTACGTTCGGTTTAGAGCAGAGTCGCCGTTGGTTAAAAGGAGGACATGGTCTTCACAATAGTTCGCTTGTGTGTACAATCTAATTTAGTGCTCACTACGAGAACGAAAAAAAAAAGAACATTTCAAAAAAGATCCCGATAATTTTAAATATCTCGAGAACCTGTCTATATTTCTAAGATGAGCTATTATGTACATTATTTACATCATTCGGACTATTGTCCTCTTCTTTGTCGCCATATTTGTTACGACGTTTCGTCCGTTGTACGCTCCGGTCTTCCTCAGGTGCTTGGAATGTCGAACTGAAACCTCTATTTCGCTCACTGGGGTAGACTGTTCTAGTTCCACGTGCCATGTTTAATGGATGTCAGTTATTCCTTCTCCAAGTTCTCCACTGCCTTAACCGGGTATTGAACTCACACTCTTTGGGTCCTGCCACTGGATCTAACTAACGCTTTTATCCACTGTGCTATGTGTCACTACGACATGTTCCCGCAGAAAAATATCCTTACAACCCTTTCTGTTTTTGTATATTTACTGAATACATTTTCTATCCGTATGCAGGCGTTCTGCTGTCAGTACAGAATCTGGGTTATTCTAGTATTCTTCTCAAATATGTCATGGTTACCAAGCAGTTCAAACCAAGCAAAAGATTTCATAACATTTCGGGTAAAAACAAACGAAACGAATCTGTTAAACAATGAATGGCATGGAAATTTCAACGCTTCGACGTTTTGGCTGAAATAAAAAGCAACAGAGAACCTGTTTATATCTCGTAACACAAACGCAAATAACACTGACAGAGAAAAGCAACATCTGTCGCAACTTCTGTAAGACAAAATTTTGAAGCAAAAAAAATGCATGCACATTGAAATCTGAGCTGGTTTTAGCATCGAGACAGAACACAAACGAACAATAGTGTAGAGAAAATGAGAATAGTTTGTTTATTTTCAGTAGATCTGGGCTTTAAAAACAGATGTCTTTTTTTTCTGTGGTTTATGTATTTATACAAATTGGGTTAAAAAAACAGAACTAAATTTCTGTTTTGTAAGACATGTTTTAACTATTTTCCTATATTCGGAACAATTTTACTTGTTTCCGTTAAGTAATTAAATATGAATTACCCGACGTCGACATATTTTCGACTTTCATATTATTATCAAAGACTTTTGTGGACTACACAGTTCAAGATATACTGAATTATTTGTAGATAATTTGGTTGGTATTTGGTTGTTTGCTTAGCAGCATATCGACACTTCTATGGGTTGCTTAATGCCGAAAATCTAAGTATTTTGTACGCAATTCTACACTTTTTCTTTGAAGATAATAATGGGTTTCGGGATAGAAGTATTACTATTTAACCCATAGCTGGGGGAGAAGGGTGGATTCATACCTTTCCCGCGTAAGTGATATAAAGAAACCAACCGTAATTGGAGCTCGGCTCTCCTCTTAACAATTCCCAGTCATTATTCATCACACCACACGCACATCGAATCTTACAGCACCCGGTATTCCCAAGCGGTCACCCATCTAGGTACTGGACATGGTCAATGTTGCTTAACTTCGGTGAACGTACAAATCCTTAGGTTTGTCACTGCCTTCTGCTCATGTGTACTTATAGTTTCAGGGGCTGAAATTCGATCGCATGGCCGGGGGTAGTCGGAGGTTCTCATCGCGACAGAGCACCTATACTGTGGCCTCCACAAAATCAAAAACAAACAAACGCGCACACCCGAAATAAAAAATATAAACTAGTGACAATTTACCCATATATATATATATATATATATATATATATATATATATATATATATATATATATATATATATATATATATATATATATATATATATATATATATATATATATATATATATATATATATATATATAATCTTAAATGTGCTATCTTTATCGGATAAAGTGCTCAATATGAGAGATAGAGCGTGTGTAAATATAAAAGTGAATATAGGAGTCAACACTTAGAGGCGACAGTCTTTTTTCATATTAGATGCAATCCTCAGACACTCGTGCCCTGATGATTGTATGTAGCATGAAACAGACTGTCGCCTCTTAGTGATGTCTTGTATGTTCTACTTTTTTTTTATATATATATATATATATATATATATATATATATATATATATATATATGTATGTG